CCAAAACACGACCAAAAGCGATATCCCTCCGAAAACAGTAGTTCAAGAAGGCTTTCATAAACCAAGTGCAAGATATGCGAACTTACAGAAGAACATTATTGAGGAATGAACTGAGCAAACAACTGAACCATTAGACCACTGACGATTGCACAAATTACCAGACATAAAGTTCTACATATCCCGAAATCTGCATTGTTTAGAATACCACAGGTAACAAATAAGCTTCCCTCATCGTGGAACAGCCAAACGACTTATGTAATGAGACGTGGAAGACAAATTTTGATAGCATTCGAACACGAAATTTGTGTAGCGAACAGCAAAAGTAGGGATAAGCCACAAGAAAACTCACAGAAGATGGAAAACGTCTAGTTAATCCAGGGAAGTGCATTGCAAGTCTGGTAAAATTTGTGGAGTAAAGTGAAGATTACGTTTAGTTGTGCTACAGCCATGAATCGATCACGCACTTAAAATAGTAGATCTTGTGTCTCCAACAGGTAGAAGATACTGGTTTTCGGAGATTTCTGGAACCAAGATTATTCATTTCCAGCAAAAAACGAATTATCTCACTTGACCAGAGTGATAAAGCAGGCAAGAAAATAGCCGTGTTAGAATATGAAAAGATAAAAAATGACAGCAAGATACGAATAGAACAGGTAAGAGATGACAGCACGATACGAATAATCTTGTGTGAGACTTCGCCTTCATGAGACGTCTGTCACCAGGCCGAAATGGAGAAACAAGGAATGTTACCTGCATAAGAGCATCACCCCAAAGTTGAAACTCGCAGTCAGTTGCCACAAGCTCAAAGAAGGGTTGCTCAAGAAACACGCTCATATGAACGTAAAATCCCACAGAACCTAAGAAGAGCCACAAAAACAGTGCTGCAGTTAGATTGATTGGAAAGATATTAAAAAATGGATCCTAAGCAAGGAATATTCACAACTGAAATGACACACCCCGGATCATTATGCAGCAAAAACATGTTAACTGTGAAACATAATTATGAATTCAGTACAATAATGCTACTTTTGTACTATGATTACGAATTACTCGTTAAAAACATGTAAACGGGGCAAACAAATACGGCCAATCGGGAGGTACGGGAAGGATACCAAGTTTTAATACCTACAACGAATAAGAAAAAAATGTGGTAGGTACTTGGCGTGTCATCCGCAATCCTTATAATAGAGATAACAAACCAGGCATCAAGGCACAACGAGTCCGACATCATAAAGCTCATCGAGAAGAGAACAACAATAGATCAAAAATAGAATGAGATCTGTTAAATACACCTTTAAGTAAACCTGCAAGCTTAATGAAGTTTGCTTCACAGCTGCTGTAATAGCTACAAAGCCTCTATTTACTATTCACACGAGATCTATAAATACCAACATTAAATTAAACCTTAGAATATCTAGATATACAATTTTCTTTAAATAAATTTAGATTTTTCGAATACAAACTACCGCTGACAAGTCGCAATCAGACTTCATCAAACTACAAACGACTTCATTTATTTTAGAACAAAAATTTACTATTGACGCGAAATAAGATAAAAAGCCTACGTGGTCCGCCGCATACTTCCCAAGAACTTACGTCACACCAGAAAAATTCCAGGACTAGAAAATACTGGTCTTCTTTGACTAAGAATTTCAGAGGACGCGTTTAAGTGGTGATTGCATCGATGCTGTCACATAAACGCAGCACTCCTGTTTCGTATTAAACAACCACGCAAACGACATGGTTGCGATGGCTGCTAACTCTGAGATTCATAATAAGCGATGTAAGTAAAAAGATGTCTAAAAACTGAAGACTAGAAAACGTGGCACATACGTGGTCGACGCGATAAATACTGCACAAAATAAATTGATTCTCAAGATTTACCTAGGAAAGAGAATCAAATGAACATGAGCGAGCTACACTACCGATTACCATATATAGAATTTTCCATCGTTGACTTCTGATACTTTGATGCAACATGCTGATCAATTAGTCCACGAGATGATTTTTTCCATAGACTGTTATAACGGATAACGGAAGATATTTTGTGCAACAGCCTACTTGGCATTTCGAGTATAAAAAAGTCTAGTAGCTACTATCCAACGTAGAGCTGAAAAGCAGAAAAATGATCAGAGACAAACCTAAATCATTGACTTAGCGAGCGAAAACAAAACAATCTCGCAACAACAATCAAAAGTCAATAACTGTCAACAAGTCAAAGAATTAACAAAATACTTCGTATCACAACTTTCAGAAAGGTTGATCACCATTCAACAAATGATCATTCAAACAATTGAATTTTGATCATCAAATAAACCCTAACTGAAACTGCAAACTCCTTGAAAACTTCTAACTTCATGACAAACTCAGTTCATTAACCCATATAGACGAACAGCAATTAGCATTAGGCTATCTTTAACGTAAGTCTAGAGCGAAGAACTCATCACTAGTGACCCTGAAATTCCAGGCTACTCAAATCATCGTTAGTTTAACATCATCATGGTAAACTAACTCACGTATAACTCGAATAGTTGAGGCAACTCACGCGCTACTTAGTTAAATACTCAGCAGGATACTGAGGAATCGTGCAGCCCTTTTGCTGCAATATTTGCCGGGCTGCCCACATCCCTCCCTCAATGCAGTCTTCTAAACACCGTCCAACGCTGAGGCAAGCCAGGAAGCCTCCTACAAACGAGTCTCCAGCACCAGTGGTGTCCACGATAGAGTTGACACTAAGTGGCGCTACATGTTTTTCCCGCACAATTCCGTCACTAGCAACGTACATTAAAGGCAAGGAACCTTGAGTCATAACAACAACTTTGTCTCTCATCATGGAAGGGACTGTGCCATTTGTGGTGCCACACGGTGATGTGTCAGAACACTTGCGTAAGGCAAAGACACTGTCACTTTTCTTGCTCTTGCGTTTTTCTGAACGCTTCCTCTTGCCGGGGGGAATTGACAAAATATTGACCTGTTCATTCGATGGTGACACAGGATCATCACTGTCGTAAAGCACTTCACTGTTGTCAAAATAATGACTGTTGCTGTTCTCCGAGTCAGGCGAGCCGTTAGTCACCACAGACTCTTTGCGTGATGAAGAATCCAACTCTTGCGAGGATAAGTTCATGGCGAGGTCAGCACAGGAGTTGCTTGGCGCAATAACGACAGCTTCATACTTACTGACAGCCTGCAGTATAGAGGGGAGGCTTGTGACGATGCTTGCTTCTCCAGCAGGCTGGGCAGAGGCGAGTGCTGGCAGATCAACATGCTTAGCAAGAGTTTTGTACTCCTCCACAAATCCAAAAAGTATATCAACGTAAGGTAATATCTGTTTCAATTCTTCAGGATGGTTTTCACACACGTAGCTGCCGCAAAGATTGAAGATCAATGTTTTTTTATTCTCCTTAGCGTATTTTGCAATCTGAGGAAGAATAGGAACATTATATCACTAACAATATCTTTTCTGCTAAAGTGAAATATTTTTAAATACAAAGTAATCTCATTCTAAAAAAATTGATGAGTTGCTCTCAAATAATAACAGGTTGTCTAAAAGATAGGCAATTAGAGTATGCCTTGAGTTGGCAATGAGTATTCTCACCATTAGTGCAGTGTCAAAGCTGTGAGTTATGAAGTAGCCTTCTACGTACAGAAGAGGAGCCAATGCCATGTCTTCTAGGCATGGTCTAAGCTCTGATGCATTATCACCTGTTTAAATATAGTAATAATAAGTTACACATTAATGTAGATATTTTATGTATATGACATTCAAGAGATTAAGAATCAATGATCCTTTTTGCAATTTTTAATTTTGACCAGTATATCTTAACTAGTAATTGCAATTTCAATTTCTTTCACACTAAATATATTGAAAACTTATAAACACCAGTGCAAATAATATGCATTATATCTAGACAAAATATGGTAAAATATTTCACAATCCCACAAGAAACTTTTTCAGTAATAAAGACATTCAAATAAAAAATGTGTTTGTGTGCAGTTAGGCACTGACTAATGCTGAAGTCTTGGAAGACGTGCTCAGGCGGGCAGTAGTTAGCAGCACCGATGTCAGCACAGAGGCAGCGTTCCACTCCCAGCACCAGAGCCACACAGCGACCTGTACTCTCTGTGGTCACCTCCAGCATTCTAACCAGTGAACAGTACAATGTTAAAAACAAAGAAAAATAATGTTAAATTGGGTAGCAGTTCACATATACCTATATACCTACATATCTGAGAACAATGCATCATGCATACAGCATGCAATTCAATTCGCATTGCATTGTCAGCTGAATGTGATTGCACTAGTTGAATCAACCTATCTTATGTATAATCACCTGGTGTTCACCCCACTGTCATGAATGATTCTCAAGAGGCGAGTGGCAGCCTCATCAACACCAATGCCACCCATGAACAAGGCTTTCTTTGGCTGCCCCAATACCCAGGTGAACACTCGGGATGAGTTTAAGGCACAACCTCCAGCAGAGCAGCTAACATCATACCTGAAAAAATTGCAATGAAAAGTCCAGAAAAAAATGAAATTGCACTAAATTTGAGAGTTATAAATCAAAATTGGATTTACATCAATGTAAAATAACTGGTATATTTATAGGGCCTTTCTTCCAACTGAAACATGAAAATAAATTCAATAATGTAGAATAAAATTTGTTGAAACAATTTCATGGATCTATTTTTCAAAATTATTGAAAACATTAACCATCTTTGTACTATTAACATACTGTTCCTGTACAAGATTGAACAGCTCCTTCTGTTCTTCAGAGACCTCCAGCTGCCCGTCAGTAGGCAGAGAAAATCTCTCATGCAGACTCTGGTCCTCCACCACGGCCGTCATGTCCAGCAGAGGATTGCCAAAAGCAACAAGTAATGGCCTGGAGATGCTGCTCGACCCATTACTGGAATCCATCATCTGTAAAAAGATACAAAATTCACAGTGATCATTGCCCTGACAAAAAAACAATTTTAGGAACTCAGGAACCTATAATGTAGAAAGTACAAAAATTATCATGCCCTAAAGAGCAATAAGATAAATCAATTGATAAAAATAGTTTTAAATTTGAAAATTTGCATTGAAAGCAGCATAGAGTGCATTTATTTGAAATGATATTAATAATAAAGATTTGAAGTACCTTTAAAAAGAAAAAAAGTATAATGAAGTTAAATATTCACATGATAACACAAATTCCATATTTCAAAATTCTGGTTATCAGCATTTTTGAAAAATGTTGAGATTTAAATTTTAAAATTGATGTTAAAGAGTTTCATGCAAAAATTCTTAGTACCATCAGCATAAAAAAGTAGTAATTACCATGTGAAAAATGTTGTCCAGGGCTGTCAANGCAAAAATTCTTAGTAGCAGCATAAAAAAAAGTAGTAATTACCATGTGAAAAATGTTGTCTAGGGCTGTCAACATGTTTCACATTAACAAAAATTTAAAAAATATCAAATGCAACCAAAGGAAGTTTATTGTCACTTCTGCTGATGCATGAAAATTTTGGATACCAACAGCAAATATTTTCTCAAAACATTATAAATCATAACCTTACTGAAATATCACTAGGAAAATTTGCAAATAATTGCACAAAAAAGTTTTCATTTCCTGGAGTCTTAAAATTAGTTTCTGATTTGACAACTTAGCATGCAGGAGTAAAAAGTTCTGCTACAAATTATGTTTAACACCACACAAATGATGACTAATCAATGCATTGATGAAGTAAAAACTAAGATTTAGCATACACAAATGATTAATAAGTAATCAAAAACCATTATCACAACTGAATGTGGTTGGGTGGGGAGAAATTAATTTAGGAAAAAAACTCATTTAGCTGACTAGTTTGGCATAATTTTACCTTTGGTTTACTATTCACAATACCTGATCAGTATTGTACCACAGAAAAGTGGAGATTAGTAAAAAATTAAAACAGAAAAGTGGAGATTAGTCAAAAGTAAAATTATCCATGTGCAGATTTTTTTTTGGCTCATTTACAAGCCCAATTTGAAATATTGCGCAGAAGTTTAGTGACATCCTTCATCACTCGTCAGATTCAACGCACAAAGTTTTCCTATCCTCTCTATTCTTTCTTAAAGATCTTCACTCTCTCTGGCGTGCACTCAACAAGTGCACGGAAATAGCACAAAGATAAACAATATTACCATTCAATGAATGCAGTGAGCCCCCAAGCAGTTCCCGCATCACATAACCAGTGCCATAATAGAGCTTGAGCAAGTGGGGTTTGGCAGCTCACACACGATCGCCCAGTGTTACCCATAATATGTTGCTATAGCTTATTACTTTATTAGGCCTACTGTAACTATGTATTTCTCTATCATATTTCCAGCTTATGTCACCAGTCACTTACATCACCATTGTCACCAAAATGACCAAATGACACCAATAATAGCAAGTAAAAACTACCAAAAGAAACGCTTTGTTTCTTCTAACTTACCAAACCACATCTGTGTCAAGTTTCCTAAAATTGCAGGTAAAAATGATTGTTTTACTGGCAATTTTTGAAAATTATGCTTGAAAACTATAAAAATAGGAAATTTTTAGCGCATTTTCTCATTTATGGAAAAAATGCACTATTGTGCTCGCCATGTCCATCTGTCTGTCTGTCCGTCCATCTGTCCGTGACTTCAAGTTTTTGTTGACGAGAAAATGCGCTCTCTGTCACTCACTGCAGACTGCAGTCTGCAGTGAGTACTGAGTTATATTTTTTTATTTTACACTGAAGCAATTAGGAGAAGGTCATAGCTGGACATAGAAAGGGAATCAAAGGATAAAATTAGCCAGATTCATGGGAGTTTTTGTGCAACTCTGAGGCTCTGATTCATGGGTGCCTTCTGCCCAACTTTTCAGTTAGGTTTCAGGTGTCTTCCATCCAATTTTTATGTTTGCATCACAGTTGCATTTATTTCTTAAGCACTTCACAAAATACAATTTACTTCCTTATAATAATATATGCTGTGAGATTTAAGCAATAAATATTTAAATAGCAACTATATGATATTTAACTTTTATTTTTAAACATTAGACTTTTCTTAAGGATGGAATTACAATACAGCAACTATATGATATTTAACTTTTATTTTTAAACATTAGACTTTTCTTAAGGATGGAATTAGGTACAACCGTACAATACTTCATTCAAGATTTCAAGGTTCATTTATTAAAAATTTGAAATCCACATGGGATGATATAGGTTAGCCTACCTCGACCTCCTTCAACTTACTCAATTGATCCAAAATAATCAGCTTAGATTCGGAAATAATTTGAGTTCAAAAATTACTTACAACACTTCTATATTAAAAAAAAAAAAACTTTTTTCAAGATTTATTAATATAAGAAAATTTTTTATCATTATTTAAATTATTCATTCTTCCAATTGATTCATGCATTGTCTCAAATTTTACGCAGAGGTGCAAAATTTCAGATCAATTGGAAAGGTAGAACCGTACCTAGAAGTGTGTAAAATATTTATTAGGTACCTATAAGATTTGCAGCAGCGGGCAGCCTAGCTCCCTAGCAGGCAAACAATTACAATTTACAAACAAACCTACTTAAAGATAAGTGTTATAATAATAACAAGATCAAGTTTAAGATGCTTTAGCCACTATAATATGTACAGTAACAGTAATAATTAACCTTCTCAAAAACCATATTGAAGACTCCTGGTCCTGACTCCAGTCCAGTGGACTGAGTCACTCACCTCACAGTCTTTCAGCACTAACTTGGAGAACAAAAATTGTGTTAAAAAAACGTCAACTCATCAGCAAAAAAATCTGTGCAACTGCAAGCTTTAAATATTCATAAGTTAATACGAAAAATATACACAATCAAAGTGAATAAAAAGGAAACTTCTATTGGAAACCCGACCGGTCAGGCGGGAAGACCAACTACAGTAGATGCAGCCAATCTACCGACACGACCTACCTCGACCGTAGGTCACGCAAAAGTGACACTTCTAAACCGTCACCGCGCTAAAACGTGTTCACTGACCGGCGATCAGGAGTAATCGTTGCCTAGCAACCAAGCCGAGCGTCCTGTCCGTTTTGCAAAGTGAAACAAGTCTGTACCTGATATCAATTTTTTTTCTGTATAATGTACTCCAGCTCATTTGTCCCATCGACTTCACTCCCGGTTGCAATTATTATACGATAAACGTTAAAAAATGAGTTGCCAGATGAAACCTTTCCTCCAGATTTCGTCCAGCTTATGTTTGACCTTGCTTGAACTTGGAACAGACATAATGCGTGGAAATTTTCAACATAGCATAATTTTGTCCATTTGTGAAGCCAATTTTTGGTCTTATTTAAATGGAAATTGCCTCCTTTGAAACAGTGAAATTTAAGTATTGACGTTGAATTCCATTATCCAACCTTTCCCTAACCTCAACGAAGCCAGAGTTAATTTTCAATCACCGTCCATTAGTTACGAAAAAAACTTTCAAGCATGAAAGCCTTATAACCAAACAAAAATAAGAATTGTTTAACTGTATCCTAGGCCGGATACAAGTTAATAAGGTCCCTGTATAAAAGTACCCTAAAATTGGTTGTTCTGTGAAACTGAGTACGAAATTATCGAATTAAGAAAACATGTCTCATTGCGGTTTGGAGGTCAGTGTAGGTATAAAATATGCCACTGTAGTTTAAATACGGATTATTTTAGTTCATGACCAAAGTCTGGCCTAATAACGACTGAAGCGGTTTGGTGGTAAGCGAATTTCAAACGGCATTCTGTGGTGGATCTTGTACTGAGTAAGAATATCCAGCGGCGTTCTTGGGTGGTTATTTTACTGAGTAAGGATATGCGGCGGTGCTGCCAGGTGGATCATATACTAATATACATATCCAGTTGCATTTTTGGTGGACTAAACGTAAACTAAATTAAAACGGAGCAAAACTCATGTAGAAGCCATGCAGGCCCCTGCAATGACCTGCACCGACACGGGATCTTGACAAAACTATCGCTTCCTGGTCCGGGGCTCTGCGGGTATCGTGTGGGGTCAAGATCTGAAAATCGATGCAAGAAGCAGGGAAACGCAATTACGAGATGCATGCGAGTGGGAAAAATAAAAATAACATATTTTATATATTATAACAAGAAATGTATACATTCATTTTCTGTAGCTTAGATATAAACGTATATATGGGCTAAACTGATGCCTGTCTAGGCTGTCTTGAGGTTGCGCGACACAAATGCAACACAAATTTGGTGCTGTGCTAATCACAGCCTTGTCGACCTGCAAATCCAATTACTTGCCGCCACAAAATGACCGCAAGCTCATTCATGGCGCGCTAACTCGACGCGATCGATGGTGGCGGCAGGGCATGACAACCCCGACAGGGAGGGCACTTCCATCGCCTCGTTTGCACCCACACGAGCCTCCGTCATATCTTGTCTGCAATCTTTTCTACTGGTCTGAACCCACTGGTCTTCTTCTCCTAACACTGGTCTGAAGCCTACTGGTCTGAACCCACTAGTCACCCTCCACCACACCGGTCTTCTTCCTGCCACTGTTCTATTAATGATCTAAAAATAATGAGCTTCCTACGACTATATACACTGATTTTAATTGATCGAGACTACTTGTATCGTGTAGAGTTTTTATCAAATCCCTGCAGTTAACTTCATGTATTCATTGTTCATTTGCAGTTTGACAATTTTTACGTGCATTATCTGAACATTATAAAGCGTTTTTTAGTGAAAGCTCTTCTCATTTTAAACTTTTCGAAAGAATGTATGATCTAAATTTTTATTTGTGTGTGGAACTTTTGTTCATGGAAATCAAGATGAATAAACCATCTATGGCATGATCGCATCCTAAAATATTAACAAAATTCATGAATTTCATTCAATATAACTGCATAATCAAACCTAATTTATATGAATCTATACTATAAGCAAAATTCGAAAAAAAGGTGAAATTGATTAAGACTTCGTACTAAATAAAAAAAATCTCAAAACGCCTCCGGAATGCTGAGAATTGCTGACGCTCCGTCGGCTGAGGCGCGGACGATGGATGTACCAGCAAGTTATTGCAGACTCAGCTTCTGTGTGTCTACATATTTGCTTCTCATGTCTAACTCGAATTGAAATTATTAATGCATTTAATAAGGAATTCCTCCCTAAGATGAATAGTCGGAAAGAATAGATGAACAACTTAGAAATAAACTAACGATTAGATTAAGTTTTTATTGAGAACAGGATAAAATTTTAATTAGTGCATTTTATTGTTTAATTCATCTCGCAAATTTCTATTAATTAAGAGAAGCTTAATTTTTTGCAATAGCAAGTTGCGGGAATTTGAAACAATATTTCGGAGGACCCGCCTTAAATGAAATTAATATATGAATGGTAACCGTGAATTCAGGTTTGAATAATTTCATTTCAAATAAAATTAACCATCTCATAACGATGCACGCAATTTTTTTTTCTTTTTAGCCCCTCGATAAACTTCAACCACACCGAGCAATGATATATATAACAAAAAACTAATAAATAATAATAATAATAATAATAATAATAATAATAATGAGAACACCAGGGCTTGTACGAATAGTTAACATGATGGACGTAGTAGCGTATGCAGTGAGCACTGTGCAGATAATTATACAAGGGTTGTACAAAAAAAAAGCACGCAGCAGTAACGCAAGTCATGCTATTGCTTCCATGTCAGTACGCGCTCTGCGTGACATCGCTTAGTTTCCTCGCGTGCCGATGCCGCAGTGCGGGTGCGGTCAAGAATATATCGTTCCAAGCTTGCCTGAGTAAATTGCCAATTGTACAATTCGGTTGCGCAAAACTGCAACACACCAGAATTTTGATTATCAGGGATGATTATTCATAAGATTATAACGAATGATTCACACCTGCAATTTCCTAATCAATGCCTGGGACAGATAAGGGACAGCGGCTCAAAACAAAAAAAATATATCGCAAAATTTTTATTATTATGTCGGCTGAAAATAGTACTATGCGATTATCTTTTATTGCCGACTTCCACGGCAAACAGTTATTTCTGTTGTCGCTTCATGAAAATCAAATATCTTAGGTCAACTGAAAGATATTTTCTTTGCTACGGGCATGAGCGGCAGAAGGCAGTGATGTCCGGCATGCAGTTGAGGACTGCGGGACGGCATCCCAGCGTCGCCATGACAACGCTTGACCTTGCATCTCTACGGCTTCTTTCCTACGTTTATTTCCGCTCTGACCTTCACTGGGGACTTGAGCTTGTCCCAAGATATCTGTAGCATTTAGTTCACACAAATTAAACAGGTCGTTAATATTACGCTGCATTCGTATGACATTAGTCTAATCATGATTAGTGATTAGAGCGTAAATGTAGGAACGATATGAATAACCATTACACATCGATCGAATTACGTAAGCGGTAGAGAAGTGTTGGCGCGGATAAAAATATATTATGTTCTTATGTATTTTTTGTCAACCCCAAAAAGGCCGAAACAAACATAAGTTTAAACAAGTAGAATTTTTAAAATATATTTCTGTGGAAAAAAAAAACATTGCGAAAAAATAAAAATGTATGTTTATTTAAAGTACGCGAGACATTATCAATTAAAGAGCCCGAGTCATATTTCACCACACCTTGTATATTGACAGAGCTAGGCTTCAAACGAACGCACACACAATGTTTCGAAAAATACACAATTAGGAAGTTCAAGAGGCTACAATATTTCAATGAATGAGTACGACATAATAATGATAATTGGTTAAGCACAGGCATATTTCAACTTGTGATCAACCTTATACAATTTCAAGGCAGTGGATATCACAAACTGAGTAGCATTCATTTGAAACCTGAAGTCGAGCAAGGCTCAGCTGCTTCATACACCAAAGAAACACTGATTACACAATATCAGCTATAACCTTCTTGGTGAGTAATATATACAAGTGAGCATCAATGGGAAGCAACATACGACGATTGTTAATAGCTCATTTTATATATCTCGACTCATTCAGTTAGCAATTTAGATGAAAAAAACATTTTTTGGCACGAGAATATGCTAATTGTCTCCAGTCAGGAAGAGCTCGCATATTAAGGACGCACCCTGAAAATATTTCAAAGCAAAGGCGAATGTTCTAATTTAGTTGAGCTGGAGTCAAGCGAGCAATCAAATATCTTAGAATAAAACAGGATGACTCAAGTCACGCACGGTCACAGTAAGCATTATGCAAGCAGGACAGAAGAAACTCAAATGTCCAGGTAACTGTTCTGGAAATAAATGTTAACGTAAACCCTGAAGCAAAGCGAGCTAGCAGGTGTCTTCCCTTTCCGTGAAGTCAAATTTAATCTCTTTATTTATTCTGGTGGTTATGAGAACACCAGCAATATTATTACCGATAACTTAATGTCAGTACTAACGAGTAAACGTAATGACAAGGCTATAAGTAACTACACGCAAGAAATGCTTAAAAGAATTTCCGGGCATACACGTTAAAAGCGATTCAATTTACTCAGAAAAACTTAGCAGTAGGTACTTAGCAAGGGAATACTAATTCGTAACCAGCCAATGGAGATTGACTCAAACTTACAAATAGTATCGTCATAGATCTACCTATATAATATAGTCGATTGCCACGAAACGATTCGTGCAGTTTGTGAAAGTTGAATCATGTTGACTCCACTAACTTATTATTAAGAGTTTTATCAAGAGGATTTGAATTGCATCTTTCTAATTAAAGAGGGAATTCGTGGACCTAATCTCAGCCATCCCAATGCGTGATAGCAAATGAACGTCCTTCTTTGAAGCATTCGATGCTCAGGACATATGAAGGAACTACGCTGAGAAAAGATCTATTTTAAAGTAACGTATTTTTTGATCTATGAGTAACTGCGTTACTCTGAACAAATTATATGGACGATTGTACTAGAAATATTAATCATCTACATCATCTATGTCGGAGATATAGATGCTGAATTTCGCAAGTCCGAGATCCACGCTCAGTGCGCTGCTGCACCACAATGCCAAATAACTACAACGCTACATACATCAGTCCTCTTCATTACGAATCTGCAGAGGATGCTGAGGTTTAAGAAGAGCTTTGCCACAGATAATCTGTGCAGCGAGGTATAGGATGAAGGCTGGGAAGACGACGCACAGGAGCTGAGTTTGCAGCGACACGCCAAGCACGACGTAAAGCACGAGTGTCAACGCCAGCACCGACACCAGCAACTGCACACATACAGAGCAAGGGGCATGATGAAAGGGATTGTTGATGGTAGTTTTGCGTGATCGCACTTTTGTCATTTAAAATCTGTGACAGGATACTTTTTTATTTAATTTATGATGTATTACACTTGATTTAAATTAATTTATGCTGTAGTATACATGACTTGAACTGATAACATTCGACACGTACAATTGAAATGGTCACATGCAAAACTCACAATTTATTCGCGCTGACAATTCATTCACTAAAAAGTCTCTGGAAGTAGACTCGAGTATTTGTTTGAATTGACCCGTCAAGCTTTTGTAGTCACTTGTCAAATACTCCTACATTTTCATGACAAAAATTGCTTCCTAGATCATAAAACACTAAATTTTAGATAATTACAGAAACGTCAACAAGAACTCGCTGGCTCATGTTTGATAAATAAACGGACTAACTTGTTTGCTGGCAAGCCTCCTGAAGCTCAGCCGGGGTGGCAGGAGGCGGGCAACCCTGACGGGGTAGAGAGCCCCACAGTCGCCCTGCGGCAGACCGCCGCCCTTGCGATACTCGTAGATGGTCAACGGTGCCTGCAGGACACAGCGCCACAGCATCCCCAGCACCCCGGCGGCGTAGTAGCCGAGTTCCAGTTCACGTCCGTACTGTGCATGATAATATCGCGTGAGCTCTTGTTTAGGAGGTGACAAGTTTTATTTTTGTAACTAATAGACGGCGATAAGAGGCAGACGAGTTGGGAGGAGAGGTAGACGAGTTAGGAGGAGGCAGACGAAATAAGCATCATACATATAATATAAAAATTGTATAAATTATGAAGCTTGTAAAGTTGAGCATGCTCACTCTAGCGTTGAGATACGAGGCGAGGAGATATAGCCAGCGCACGAGCACCGCAAACTCCCCAGTGCTGATGGGGCGCAGATCGGGGTCTCCCTCGAACTTTAGGTCATGGCGCCGCAGTCCGCATACCAGTTGCCGGCGTCCTGAAGGCAGGGGCGTTATAAATATTAATAAACGTATCCTGGAATCACTATATACATATAACTTCAATAAATATAATTTCTCGCTGGCGTCAGGATGAATTATTAATTAATAACAAAGGCAGCTTGATACTTTTAATCTCATTGGCATCAGGAATGTAAAGATTGTTACAAAATCTTCTTGAACAATTTTAATGTAATTAAATGTATTGTCAAAAACGTAATTATCGTGATAATTGTGATTGTCACATAGTGGAAGATAACGTGCAATTTGAATGCTAAAATAACGATTCACCAACATTTTGAAATCTTAGAATCGTAAATTTCTTTCAAGTTGTATATATTTAAACTAGCCCACAGACAGTTGAGATTCATTTCAAGTTTATAAAATCGATGATTTCTGCAACTATTTTTGAACTTCAGGTAATACAGTGTCACAGCAAAAAATCTTGCGTAAAATTTCAACTAGATTGCAAATTTTTAAGTTCACTAGATTACAAATTTAAGTTCACTGGTTTACTAATTAAATCTACTTAGGAGCCAAGCAGCTCACCTTGATCTGAAAGCACAGGCCCGTTTTCGGTCTGGATTTGGTCCGGTACAGATGTCCGGGTTTTGCTGGGCGAATAGTCGCTGCTGAATGATGGGTGGACCTCTTCGTTGATCTGAGAGGAAGTTTATAATTTTCATTAACATCTGCTCCTCAAAACCTTGTACCCCAAATGAACTTGGACCACCGGACGATAAATGTCCCAGAACGAAAAAATACAGAAACAAAGGAAAAAATTGGCATGGAATAAGTGTTGCATGGGACAATAGCTTCTTCCCGGAATATAACAATTGTTTCATGTTCTTATGAAACATTACGAGACAGATATACTACATAAAACAAGACATACCATACGGCTTCGAGACAGGAGGAGACATTCCATTGCGTTACGCGATATTTCGACGACCAGATTTAGGACTAAATTAAATTTTTGACTATTGGTGAGCAGAATCAACGAAATTTAGCTGCCAACGTCACTTGGCAGTTGCATTAATGGGCAGACTTAGCGACTTACAGTTCGCAGATTAATTTCACTTTTACTTAATACCTCACCTTAAAAATATTCAAATGTATCACGGATACCATGACTTGGTATAGTTAAACTTGATAAAATTAAAATCTATCACAGGTAACATGATTCGGCAAGGTTCACCGTAAAAATATTCAGATGTATCACAAATACTATGACTTGTATAGGTAATTTAATAAAAATTAAAATGTATCACCGATAACATGATTCGGCAAGATTCACCTTAAAAATATGCTGGAGATGAGCAGCGGCGGCCTGGAGGTGCAGGAGCGTGCGCTGCAGTTCGTCTGCCGCGCTGTCGTCGGACGGGGCGCCGCTCGCCGCACTCGCCAGCCACTTCCACGCCCGCCATAACGCGCCGCCTTCGCTCTCATTATTGCTGCTGTGTAATTGATAGGGAATATAAACATTATATAATAATATCAACATATTCAAAGGATTAGAAATATAATAACATAATTTTAGGTGGTAAGTAATTACAAAATTACTTTGGCTAGTGCCGGATTACACGAGATCGCGAGCCTGTTAACAATAAGAGACGAATACATTCATATCGAGGTAGCTGGACTGCAGGGTTTAACCTAAAATGTGTACGAGTGATTCAATAACCAAAACGAATAAATGACTCGACTCGTACACGAACTAATTGAATAAATCACACAATATACATGTTGTTCTAACTTACACAAGAACATAGTACAGCACATAATTTGTGAACAGCATTCGGCACCAAATATTTTGAGGAGCATACAGCAGCAAATTTTTTAGTAGTACTCAGCATCTAATGCCACCTAATACCACGCAGTACTCAGCACCTAATACCACGCAGTACTCAGCACCTAATACCACGCAGTACTCAGCACCTAACATTGTACAGGTACTCACTCTCTCTGAGTAGGTTGGTCCATGCCTGCCAGCTCCCCCTTGACGGCGGCCTCGGCGGCCCGCGCACCGCACAGCACCTGGTACGCCTGCACGACACGCAGCACGTCACACACGACACGAGGCAGGGTATACCGTATTTTAATTGAGTGCGCCCGATAATATATGTTATTATGCTTCATAATTATCAACACACAACATCACCAGACAATTGACCAATAATGATCTTTGTCTTTGAACATATAGGTACTCACAGAGTGGTTTGCCATAAACTTGTAGAAGCTGAGAATTTTTTTAGTAAATAATTAAAAATAATAAAATTGTATAATTATTAAATTATTATTTTGCTACCAGGCTTTGCGTGTGGCGTCCAAATATTGAAGTATAAACGAAGTGAGTTCCTTCCATCTCTTGGAAATGCAAGCGAGCCGCAGCAGCCACAGCCTGCGCAGGCAGCTGGCCTTCTTGCTGGTGGTTTTGCCGAGTCTGAAGCCTCGGTGGGCTGCTGGGGGACAGCAGAGGGTGGGGGTGAGCTTGCAGGGCTTCCTCAGTAGCCTGCAGGATCTCAGCAAAATTTGGCAAGGAAAATACCTGCAATGAAGAATGAAATCAGACAACTGAGCGTTTAATGACGCAGAAGATTTATTGAACCAAATCGTTCATTGTGTTTGGTCATCAAGTAATCCTGTCATGCATATCGGCGCAATGAAGAGAAACAGGGTCAAATAAACTCTGTGTTGTGAGTAAAAGCAAATGAGCAACGGTGAACAATTAAGTTTCGAATTCACGGTGAAGCTTCCTAGAATCGGAACTGATATGTCAAATTTACAGCGAAATCATATTTTTGCATTCGCGTTTAAAAATGTACTTGCATCTAAATTCTTTTAAAGATGCGGGAGTTAGTTAGATATTCAGAAAGGTATGGCGGTGTTTATTTTTATTAAACTTGACAAGATATTTGTACTTGCTTTACTGATCCTGTAGAGCATATGGGCATTCTTGGGAGCTGATAGGTCCAGTCTGAGGAGCCTGGGCAGCACTGTAGTCAGGATACCAGAGTAGAAGAGTAGATTGTCGGCCATGAATCGCTGCCACTGCCACTCCACAGGCACTCCCGACTCGCTAGGGTCAGCAGGCCTGTGCAAAACAATTCAACGGTTATGCAGTCGAGAATATTGAGCTAAATCAAGTGACAAGCTAACGTATTGCGAATTGTTAATGCATAAAACTTCAGATATTTTCATGATGGTCAAACGAATCAAAACAGAAGAAAAATTTGAATCAACATTGATAACCTTACAGACATCAAAAATTCCATATTAAAACAAAATACGGGACAGAATGCGCACAAAATCACGACAGAAATGAGCATAGGAAATGAATTTAATTCATCAAAAATGCCAATAGATTGGATACCCAAAGTGTTTAAAAGGCAGCTACCATAAAATAACAGAAAACATTATTGGCAGCTAACACAACGCAACTCTCACTTATTGATGTCAGTGTAGCGCCATGACAGGCTGTATCTCTCACTTATTGATGTCAGTGTAACGGCATAGCTGGCTGTATCTCTCACTTATTGATGTCAGTGTAACTGCATAGCTGGCTGTATCTCTCACTTATTGATGACAGTGTAACTGCATAGCTGGCTGTATCTCTCACTTATTGATGTCAGTGTAGCGCCAAGGCTGGATGTAGCTGAGCCAGGCCTCCAGCAGGAGTCTGAAGGATGAGTCCAGAGGCCAGCGCTGCAGGAGCTGCAGGAACAGCGCGTAGAAACTCTTGCGACACATCGGCCACACGCACCTGCAGTCATTGAACTATCTGAGTTAACGTGCAGTCAGGATCAATAAACAGTAATCGCGTCAGTAGCACATCTCAAAATTAGACCGACAAATAGGGATATACATCTCCCTTGTTATGTAAAATTTTGTTGGGTATTAGAACATTAGAATAGGTATTTGGGTATTATAAAAGGATTACGCTTTAAATTGTTCCATGTTACATAACATTCTGATGATTCAAATTAAATAATTTAAAACTCTAGGACATTGTAATTTAAAATTGATAACATAAAAATCTTTAAATAAAGCTGGTTATTGAGTTATCAAAACACACAATTATATTTTTTAAAGATGTAATTAGATACAAAGCAACATATTTTGAACAAACTTATAACGATAGATCAAAGAATCGTTTGGGCATAGAGGGATTGAAAACAAGCAAAAATGTATGAAGGTGTATTTAAAACCTAGAATGTTTTGACTGTATGTATGAGTGATGAAAAATAATCTAGATCATTCGTCTGCTGAAATTGCCCAACTTCACCAAGAATAAAAAGAAAATAATTCACATTTTCCTTGCGTTTCGGAAACCAGCTCAAACACAAGTTAAAAATATAGAGGAATACAAGTACAATCAATATACAAAAATAAAATGTTCATGAAAAGCTTATTTATTTAAAAAACGTTTAAAACGTAGGAATAGCTTTCAATCTCTTTCGTGCAAAATTGTTGTGGCGAGACCTGCGCAGGTTGTCTAGAGGCGACGGTTGGGCGGGTTTGATGCTGTTGCTGAAGTAGTGTAGATGCTTGATGACCATGCGTACGGCTCTGATGTGCTCACACATGATGCTCGGCCCGATGCCCTGTACACGAAACAACGTTCATCAACATACATATAAATGTTTCTATTTATAAGTTTAAATTAATAAGAGTTTTACACAGCTTGCTTATGATGTTTCATATACATTTTGTAGTCTTACGCCGGCTGTGGCTGCAGACGGACGTGCATTGCTTTGCTCCGTTCGCAACTTACGCCTGTGTAAAAATTTGATACCCTCGTGTTGAAAACTACCTACGTCGCAAATCTTTATAAGCCATTTCTTTCAACTAAGAAGAATACCGTACGCGTTCAGGATTTTCTGACGTTGAATGCTGTGCTTTTAAATCTGACTGTGGCGACCGTTACTCTTCCGAAACCGATCGGTCATCTTGACTTGATCGGCCCTCGTTTTTCTACGTCGCAAATCTTTAAATCAAGTTCTTCTGAATAAAAGGACTACACTTTGACGATCTTCCTACGTTGAATGCTGTACTGTGCCTTTAAATCTGACGGTGGCGTCCGTTACCGGGCCATCTTGGCTTGATCTGCCATCTTGGTTTGAATCTGAATCTGGCTGGAGTGGGCGTACGTCACCAGGCTCCGTTCTGATCTCGTTTCTTTTTTTTTTCTTGCTGATCACGTAGCTTATTTGACGCAAGCTACGTCGATGTTAGCGTGTTTTGACAAGGGACTATATTTTGGTTTTCGGTTTGGCGTTCGATATATCCGGCTTCGAGCTTACTGTAGACGTTTTATGACCCAAGCTAAATTTGCCTTTATGTTTTATGACCAAAGCTAAATTTGGCTGCTATTCATGGCGCTGTTAGCTTACCCGGCCGGCGGCCAGCTGCTGCAGACCTTGATCCATCCAAATCCGTTGATGAAAAAAGGTTGATAAATTTCTTCACATTTGTCCCTCGCACTCACTAGATATCGTCTTCCTGACCGAGACCTGGCGCGACGTTTACTCGGTTTGCATCGCGCGTCTTCGCGCTGAAGGACTCAAGGAAAGAGTACGTAATAAATTTTCTTAAAATAAGGTAATTAGTGTAGAAAATTCTAGGTGTCATTGAAAGAAATGAAGTCTTTACAATCTTTGCTGCCTTATCCAGGAGAAGCTGATGAGTCCATTACAAGAAACGCTCTTACCTTCCCCAGTTCACGTCAGCACCAATGGCTTCATATCAGCCAGTACTCTCAAGGGTATACAAAAATATTGAATAATGAATTTAATCTCTAATAGGAGATTACTGTGAATTTCCGCCCAAAGTAATTTACCGTAACTACTTCAACGATTCAGGAAAATAATAAAGGATTGACTACCAGAAACTTGAACAAGATTTATTTAAGTTCGCAGGCTAGATTCACGGCTGGCTCGGTCATCCAATTCATTATTCACTATTTTTGTATAAAGGGACCGAGAATATTACACGGGCCACAGCAAATCAAAGTTACATTAGAATGGCACCGAAGTGGAAAATAAACAAACGAAAATGATTGAAACCCAGTAATAGAAAACAGTCAAAGAGAACGAAAGATATGACACTATCATATAAATCATGAAATAGAAATATAACAAAAAACAGGCAAAGAATTAGCTGATAAAAATGCTTGACGAGTCAGAGCAGCTGAAAATCAACACGTTATCAGCTTTATAGCGATGAGCGTTACGGATGCATTGCAAGCTCAGGAATAATCTAGGGTTAGGTTCTTTAAACACTTGCTAGCATTTCATGTTCAACATCAAAATAAACTGATATAAGTCTGTAAATAAATATAATATAAGCCAGAAATATTAAAAATATTACTATATTAGCAGTGTCAGCTCAAATGATGCCGATTTTGGAGCGAGGGTCTGATACATATTCGACTGTTAATTCGCAGAGAATAATCGGGTTTCGTTTCCATTTTCAAGAACTAACATAAAATCGTTAATTAGAGTGTGAGTAAAAAGCAATTATGGGACGATTAAGCACAGAGGATATAAATAATTGGTGCGCCAGCTTGTGAGCAGGGATGAGTTTTCAGCTGCATTAGCATGTTGAGGTTGACGGCAACACAAGCGCAACAAAAGAACAAGATTTTAAAACAATCTAGTCGGCACTCACGAAGAGTGTCGGAGGCACAAACCACTGAGGCCGACCATGCATGGCAGCGGCGCTGTCCGTCCACAGCGGCATCTGGCGGCACACTGAACGTCTACACTTGATCTAATGACATGGTACTGCACACCTAACTTCTACACGTATTCTAATAACGTTATTTAGTACTACATTGAACTCTACGCTTGCTCTTCTAAAGTTGTTCTGCACACCAAACTTCTGAACCTGCTCAAACAACATTGTTCTGTACACCCAACTTTTGCACTTGTTCACACGACATTGTTCTGTACACTTCACACGTCTACAGTTGTTCAAACAACATTGTTCTGCACATAAGGATACACTATTTAAATGCAATAGTCTTGGTGCGTAGAAACTTCGCATTAAATTTCAGGCATTTAGATTGTCACGGCCTTTGCGTCTTATTTGAAGTTCGACATAGTGGATGTGTTTGGCAACCGCGCCCTCAAAATAAAGTTCAGGAGTGAAAGTTTTTCAGAGACCAGCAGTGCAGAGCGTCGTGTGAAACATTGTGGTAAGACCTCGACCTTGCCGGTCAGCAAAATTCGTTATTGCTAAAGGAAGAAAACTATGCAAACGGCACAGAACAAGTGAGTGCTTGAGGTTCATTTCTAAAACATGGTAATATCACTCAACGGTAATGCTCGAATTGGGAGCTTCAATCCTGAGGCTATCGTGCCAACACAATAATGAAGTCAGATGAGCGAGGGCTGGAACGTTATTGCTCACTTGAGCAGGCAAGACAATGCGCAATGCAAGATATTAAACCAAATTACTGCGTATTATGGGACAAAATTGTTGTTTCAGGCGTCAGAAAACTTGCCGCGGCCAAACAAAAAGCCTTTGTAGAGGAAGCATGCAGTTTGTAGCAACCGAGACAGACTCGCTCTTAACGCAGGGCGGCAGGCGCTAACAGTTTTATAGCATAGGTACGTTTATATTTGGAGAACTAAAAGATAGAATAATCAACGTGATCGAAATTATAGAAGAGGCAAACGACTAGAGGCATAACTTTGCATATATTTTTTTATCGAACACTTTAAAATTGTGACTAATATTCAATATCCGAATATATTACAAAGAAAGTAAAAGGAAAATGCTCCGTCATATACAAATACTTTGAGCGCATTTGTCTATTGTCAACATTTAATATTAACACACACCAATTTAAATGAAACTATTCAGCAATGCTTGTCAGTGGAAAAAATTTTCCACTGAGCTTACAAAGCTATCGTAGATAATAATTTGTAACAGAAATAATTAATTCCACTGTCATATTAAGAACAACAATCGAATAATAATGTCGTAAAGACGCAGAGAAACGAGGAAGATTTGGTCCAAATATTGATGTGCTTTTTGTTCTCATGTGAGTCATCCTGTTCCAGTTTGGCCGGAAATACGCAGAATCAGTAGGTACAAATTGCGGAAAATTTTCTAATACTTGGAAAATACGACCCATTAATTTTTCTACTACAAACAGAATGTTGAAGAATCTAGGACCGAACCTGGAGCTGGTGGTGCGTAGTGCCAGGAGCGGTCCTGAGGGAGGCGGTGTTGGGGGACATGGGGGAGGAGGGGCGGCCACCTGGCCTACCCTGGCACTGGTTCACCCACATCTCCACCAGCACCTGCAGCACCACCTGCAACACAAGCACATTACCAGCACCTGCACTACCGTCTGCAACACAAAGTCTACAGAAATTTTCGCAACGTTTGCACCAAAAATGAAAATAATATCTTATCGCAATACCTCGCAATTCCCAAAGCATTTTAATGGCCGTAGCATAATTAAATAAATGTCTCTAAGTGTGAAGCCATTAATTACACTTCAAACATGCAGTAATATGGTCACTTGAAAATGGACGAATCATCACAGCGCAAGGAAGAAAATCAGATAAAAGTGAACACTAATAAGACCACGCGTTACCTGGCTGACCCAGGCAGCGGGGCGCTGAGGTAGTTGGGTGTTATGGAACGGGGAGGACGTGTGGGGAGAGTACAGGTGGGTGTTGTGTGGTCCTAGGGCGTCAGGGGTGCTGATGGGTGACATCAGCTGCGTCAAGTGCTGCAGCCCACTCACCGTTAATCTGACATAATAACTTATATTAACATTCCCGCATAATTTTTTCTCGCTCACGCACACAATTTCTTCTTGCTTATCATCGTGACCGAGAAAGAAGATATGAAATTAACGACCAGACGCTCGCTATTTTTCGGAGCGTTTATCTTCAAGGTTAAACTGGAGGAATTCATTCATATTAGTTTTTATAACGTTCAGAATTAAGAAATGTTGTAAATTTCGTTATGAAAGCAAGGGTTTATAATCAGGTTACTGAAGAGAACTGAAGCAAGAACCTAGCAGCAATAGGCGTGTGCGGGGTCGCTGTGAGGGTCGAGAATTGCGGCGAGGCGGCGGCGTCGTGGCAGGGCAGGAACGTGGTGAGGTAGTCCTCCAGCAGCGTGGGGTACACCGCGTCACCCACGCTGGTCCATGCCAGGCCCCCACAACCCTCAGCCACACCCACGTGCAGCAGGTAGTGGCTGAAGTGGAACATGTAGAACTCGAACGAGTCTGCATGACTGGGCTAAGGAACCTTGGTCATCTTATCGTTAATGTCACAAATTCTTGGTTAGTGAAATAACAGGTTTAGTGAGAAACACGTGGAAGAGGTAGTGGTTGAAGTGGAATATGTACTAGTCGAGAGAGTCAGCGCGCCGGGGTTAAGGAACCGTGGTAAACGTTATCACAAATTCTATGGTAATTCCTGAGCAGGCTTAGTAAGAAAGAAGGCTTGGATGGAAGAACACACAGGGTAAGCACAGGTAAAGGTGTGGCATGAGTTAGCGATACGATCGAAACGTTTGATATAGGATATGATCGAATGGCTTGATGTAGGAAATGATGGAGTGGCTTAATACGGATATGATCGAGTGGCTTAATACGGATATGATCGCGTGGCTTGATATAGGATATGATCGAATGGCTTAATACGGATATGATCGAGTGGCTTAATACGGATATGATCGCGTGGCTTGATATAGGATATGATCGGGTGGCTTGATATAGGATATGATCGGGTGGCTTGATGTAGGATATGATCGCGTGGCTTGATATAGGATATGATCGCGTGGCTTGATATAGGATATGTTCGCGTGGCTTGATATAGGATATGATCTGGTGGCTTGATATAGGATATGATCGCGTGGCTTGATATCGGATATGTTCGCGTGGCTTGATATAGGATATGATCGGGTGGCTTAATATAGGATATGATCGAATGGTTTGCTATAGGATATGATCGAGTGGCATTATATAGAATGTGAACCAGCGGATATGAAACGCTCACAGCAGACAAGCATATGTGGTCAAAATATCGATGGGTGTGATGACCGACGCAAAATAAATAATGCAAGTCGAAACTTCCAAGAATGGTTGAAGCTCAGAATATGTATATACACACTAACATTGATAACCTGTTCTGCCAGAAGCTGGAAGATTTCAAAGCACAGACAAAAAGTCGCACAATAAGCAACAATTAAAGGATACTGAGGTGGATGCTGTGGGGCAGCTTGCCGGGGCCCAGGTTGGGGACCTTGCCGGCATAGAGAGGCCCTGGCGCGGTGCCCTGTAGGATGGCGCTTTGGACCCCTGCCTGAAATAAATACAAATTCTATAAGTAATGAAGTGGAGCGGAACAATCTTTTTTGTCAAAATAGGCTTGTCTCTTAGAAAAAGTTGAAATTTGCTCCCATTAATGATTTCTGTTGATATTATCAAAGTTTAATTAGAAATTTCACCGAACTATCATAGGACAGATTGAGGAAGACATCCAACTTACGGGGAGGGCGGTGACAGGGAACTCGAATATCATGAAGGTATCATGCGCGTCCAACTTACGGGGAGGGCGGTGACAGG